TTTCTTGATGGAGAAATTCACCATTTTGAGCTTTACGTATTTGCCTAAGATGATTGACGATATCGCCTTCGGTGTCTAGTGAGGTCTCGTCTTGAGTTCGCTAGTACTAGCAATGCGCAGGAGCACACTGAGAGCTGGGATTCGTACTACTAACGCTATACTATGCCCGAGGGAAGAGTCGATAGCATATTTGCTTCAATGCTCGTGGGAGAGCTTATCAAGGGTAACTTCCTCGACCAACACTGCAAAATACCACGACAGACAGATTGACCAGAGGATCCTTTTTTCCTCCTCGAGGGTATTTCAGTGGCGGAATGGGTCTTCATAGGGATGATTATGAAGCTGGGAAATCCTTCTCACTGCAAATCTTCCCATCTTTTCGACTGAAATGCATCGATCCTTGCGAGGTAATGTTTCACACAAGTATCCATCCCATATTAGATGATTGTTGTACTTGTCATCCTTACTAGTACAGCGTCAATTGTACTATTACTGTATTGACTAAGACTCTTTGCCAATACCGTGATCACAGTGTAAGACTCTTAGTCTAAGAGTGAGAACTTGGCGGCTAACCCCGAAGACTGTGCATGTTGAAGTTTTCACTAACTCATTAACAAGAACAAGGATATCCACAGAAAACTGCATCCACTAGTCCGATGGGCTATCTCATCACACATGAGTATCAGGCAAGCATTGGCCATACCAGCGACCTTCAAGTCGTGATCGAGCGGTGCCATCGCATCTTTCAGTTTCTCTGTCAAGCTTTCGAACTTCCCGAAATGGAGCCTGTCAAAGATGGCGTGCTTCTGTGCAAAGATCTACTCTAATACAAAGCTTGTCCTGTATCCTTCACAACGTCCCTAGCGATATCTTTGATATCAGTGTGACCGATTATTGACTTCTCACCATCCAACTGAGTCAGCATCCACTACTCCTATCAAGGAACATTTCCCTTACCACGCCGTTGAGCGCCATAGCAGTCTGGAATCCTTGATGTATGGCTGGTCGAAAAACCTACCTCAGAAAAAAATCATCATTTTGAGGCGGTATTTGTCGTTGCTACTTTAGGGATTCGAGTGGCTTCCTCAAAATTATGTCGCATTTGAGTGCGAATTTCGGGAAGAACGTTTTGCCTTAGCCGGGCTTCATGATGGAGGTATCTACCAAGACAACGTGACTTAGTGATAGCCCTTTGTATGAATCGTCTAAGGAACTGGCCGTCTCACTCTTCCAGCCGTCTCAACTCTGGAGGAGGGTTCCTGATTGCACCGTTCGCAAGGTTGGAGCGAAATTGTTATCTTTCTATTTCTTACTCGCCGTATTCTCGTCTTAGTCGTTGCATCGCTTTCCCCACGTCCGATGGTATTTCATCACGTCTCAAAACCTGACCGAGTCGAATCTGCCATGATTTCTGATGAAACTGTACCCCGAAGTTTCCATCATGCCGTTCTTGTTTCGAGTCGTCCTTGACCAAATGCGTTTCTTTGGCGTGAACATGCGCCAACACGGACGCTGGTAGAACATGCGCAGCGGCCCATTGCTCCCAGTTGTGCAATGTTGTTGTCAAGTAAGTAGGAATAAGGGAGTTCATACGACCTTATTCACTTAC